AATAGTTTTTAAAATTTCAATTTTGGTTTTCCTAGGCTTATACTATGATAATCTATTTTATTTTTATTTTGCAGGATTTATAAAAAATATATATTTTTTTTTTTCCGTCGGCCGGTACCGGACCGCGATTGACTGGTGTCGCTCCTTCCGCGACCAAATCACGACCAGGCGAAGCAACGGACGGAATATCTGACCGCGTTCTTGACCGGTATCGCATTCCCGCGTGCCGCGTCTCGAGTGTCCCAGCAGCGGTCACGCGCATCGATCGAGACTCGTGACCGGTATTCGGGTGACTTTGCCCCGCGTCTCAATCACACGCTCGTGCCTCGTCCCGTGTCACAACACCGGACGCTGACATCGGGTCACGTACGTGACCGTAGTTCGAGTCCTCGATCCCGTCTCTCGTGTCGCGACACGACCAAATTCGTCCCGTGTCTCGATCATCCCACATCTCGACCAAATCTGTCCCGCGTCCTACCCAGCCACGTACCGTGTCTCGACCATGGTAAGTACCGGTCACGGTATCGGTCCACCGACTCGACCGGTGGTTCGACCGATCCGACCCGGGTAAGTTTTCGGTTTAATTTTAATTTTCTAAACCAGTTCCAAACCGTTTTTAACCGAAATTTAACCAAAAACATCACAAAATCTGATTTGGAAAGGTTTTCACAAATTTCTTTTTGTCTCTTAAAGACAAAATATCATCTATTTTTCTCAAAAGTGTTCTTGAGCTCAAGAACCCTAAAAATCCAATTTTGGGGTTTTTGCTCAATTCACTAAAATTCATTTCGTTTTTCACGAGGATTATCATTTCTAATCTCATATTTCACCTAATCCAAGGTAATTTCTCTCTAAACCCTTTTTTTGTCTAAATTTCAAGTTTATACATATTTCACAATTCTCATTGATTTAGCTTAAATTGGCTAGGTTGTTGGAGAATTACTATAGGAATACTTGTTTAGACATCATATAAGCATTATTGATGGGTTAATTACATGTTTTACACCTTTAATTACTTTTTCACAATATGAATTTGTGAGGTCACAATTATAAACGAATTTGGGTGATTCATGGTTAGTTAATGCATCCATAAGTATCGGTTTATCATATATACATAGGATTGGTATGAATTTTGACACATTAGAACCTTAATTTTGACACATAACTATGGGTTTATCATATATACATAAGTATGGATTTATCATA